TGATCCCCTACTTCATTTTTCAATGATGTATATCATCCAACTAGCAAAGGAATTTTCTTTATAACTTGAAGATCATCTTTGAAGCATTCTTCGATGTGGGGGGCAACCTTCACCGTTGTCTTGAAAAGTCGTTCACGTCAACGTCCCGGGCACGATTGCAGTGGGGTTGTCTTCTTGCATCCTATTCAAACAAAAAATATTTCATAACTTTTTCTAGGCTGAGGGACAACATTCATTGCAGTCTCGAAAGGTCGTTCATGTTAACGTCTCAGGCACGACTATGATGGGAAAGTCATCCCATATTTTATTCAGATTACAAGTCTATGAGAATAGCTCTTGTATTGGGGGACAATCTTCACCGCAAATAACACTTCCTCAATGCCCCTCATTATACTAGAGTTCTTCTTCAACTAGATCAAGAAGTTGTTCTCTTCAAGGCCGGATACCTTTGTTATTTTACAAGCTCGCATGGAAAACACCCCCCACTAGGGGGCAAAAGATTCAGAAGCAGCAATTAACGAGTTTTCAAACATTATTCTTGAGTATGACTGCAACCATATTTTTAAGAAACTATACGATTCATTTCAATCTACGCCATAGTATCTAGAAACACAAAGCATCTCTGACACCTTATTCTAGGCTTACTTGATCCCAAGGTGACTCGATTTGATCTCTTCCATTACAAGCTACAGTCGTCAAATAAAAGCTTTGATATACAACTTTGGATAGGTTAAAAATCTTTGGCGGATTTTCTTCAACCTTTTCTATAAAATACTACGATCGTCAAGCAAAAGCTTCGACCAAAAACCTAGGATATGTCAACCATCCTTAGTGGATTTCATATAACTTTTTCTATTACGGGTTAATACCGTCAAGCATCTTCGGTTATACAACTCAGAATTGGTCTTACATCCTTATTGGATTCTTTTTTCAACCATGCCCTTGAAAGTTAAGCCCAGGAGGGAAGACTTGATGGGAAGCTACGGTGCTCAAAGAAGTCAAGCTCAGAACGCAAGACCCGATGAGAAGCTATCATGCTGCTGGAAGACGAGCCCAAGAGGCAATTTTTAATGGGAAGCTAGTTGTGGGCAGGGTTCTCACTAGAAAGACTCCAAGAGAGCAAGTGGTTGATAAGGTCTTCAGTGAAAGACCTCAAAAGGCTACAAGCCTCAAAATGCTACAAGCCTTAGAATCCACATGTACATAAAAGACATCAGAAGACTACGAGCCTCATAAGAATTTCGTATGATTAAGAGGTCACAACAGCCTCAGAAATAACACCATAAATGCATAAAGAAATACATTATCAAGAACTAAAAATATCACATCAGATGATTAAAAAGACTATAAAGATCAACAAGAATAGTACAAAGGATACAAGAGATATCGCCACTACAGAAGCATGAAATCTCCCCTCAAAGTGCAGCGGGAAAATTCTAGCATTTCTTCATCTCCACCGAAATACACAACAATAACAATCAAGATGATCTCGAGTCACCCACGAGCAAGAATGGAGATAACTGTCTTCATCTCATTGAGGCAAAAGAAGATCTCGATGGTCACCTGCTATGCAGGATGGGTACGACTTTACTGTTGGCCGCAACAAGAAAGAAGATCTCATTGATTGCCTGCTATGCAGGATACATATGACTTTCCTCTTCATTGCAACACAAAAGAAGATTTAGTTGCTTGGCTGCTATGCATGACAGCGATGACTTTCATCTTTGCCGCAACGTAAAAGAAGATCTTGTTGCTTGCCTGCCACACATGACGGGGACGACTTTCATCTTTGCCACAATGTGAAAGAAGAACTCGTTGCTTGTCTGCTACGTAAAACGGGGACACCCTTCCTCTTCATTGCAACGTAAAAGAAGATCATGTTGCTTGTCTGCTACGTATGACGGGGACAACTTTCCTCTTCGCTGCAAGGTTAAAGAAGATCTCGTTGCTTGCCTGCTACCCATGACGAGGACAACTTTCTTCTTCGTCACAACAAGAAAGAAGATTTTGTTGCTTGTTTTATATGCAGGACGGGGACAATTTTTTTCTTTGTTGCAATGTGAAATAAGATCTCGTTGCCTATCTGCTACCCAGGACGGGAAAAACTTTTCTCTGCACCGTAATGTGAAAGAAAATATCATTGCTTGCCTACTACACAGGACGTGGATGACTTTTCTCTTCGCTAAAACACAAAAGAAGATCTCATTGCTTGTCTATTACGCAAGATGGGGACAACTTTCCTCTTCATCATAATGTGAAAGAAGATCCTATTGCTTGTCCATTCCGCAAGATGAGGACAAATTTCTTCTTCACCACAATATGAAAGAAGATCCCATTGGTTGTCTACTACGCACGACGTAGACGACTTTTTTTTGCACTACAACACGAAATTGTTTGCATGCACACAGGACAGGGACAACTTTCCTCTTTGAGGAAACTCTCCGCCGCAACTCTTTACGTTAACCCACCCTTCGTTGCAACTCTTCACTACAACGCATGACGACATTCTTCTTCGGGAAAATCTCGCTAGTATAAGACTCCTCTCCACTCTTTTCCTCTCTTTCTCCTTCTCCTTCTCCTCACTAGTGATTCTTTCCCTCATCAATGACCTCTATTTATAAGTTTTACAGAAGGCATAACATTAATTCTTTTGTTGTTTTGGCCTTCCACCTTCTAACCATTGACCTTCCACTTTCCGACTTTTGGCTTTTCAACTTCCAACTTTTGATACTTCAACTTCTAAATTTATTTAAATTATTATTATTATTATTATTATTATAT